TTGGTTCGAGGGGTTACTCTGGTTGGGCTGGGCTGGGCACACTGCCCACCTGTGCAGGACATGTGTGCCATGACAGGACAGTGACAGCAGTTCATAGAATCATAGAATGTTAAGGGGTTGGAATGGACCTTAGAGATCATCCAGTTCCATTGCCCTGGCCTGGGCAGGGACATCTCCCACCAGACCAGGTTGCTCAAGGTTTTATCCAGCCTGGCTGTGAACACTGCCCCAGGGTTGGGGCAGTCACAGCCTCCCTGGGCACCCTGTGCCAGTGTCTCACCACCCTCACAGTGAAAAAACTTCTTCCTAATAGCTAATCGAAATTTCCCTTTTTCAGTGGATCCCCTTGTCCTGTCCCTGCAGTTCCTAACCCAGAGTCCCTCTGCAGCTTCCCTGGAGCCCCTTCAGCTCCTGGCAGATTGCTCTGAGGTCTCTACACAACCTTCTCTTCTCCAGGCTGAACAGCCCCAACTCTCTCAGCCTGTCCTCATAGTGCAGGTGCTCCAGTCCTTTGATCAGCTTCGTGGCCTCCTCTGGCCTTGCTGCAACAGTTCCATGTCCTTCTGCTGTTGGGGCCACCAGAGCTGTGTACAGCACTCCAGGTAAGGCCCCATAAGAGCAAAGTAGAGGGGGAGAATCACTTCCCTCACCTGCTGCCACACTCCTTTGGATGCAGCCCAGGACTCAGTTGGTTTCTGGGCTGCAGCTGCACACTGCAGACCATGTTGTGTTTTTCATAAACTATCACCCTTTTTCCCAATGCCCCTCGCACATCTGGAGAGCAGCATCTCGGCTGTGCTGTGTTCAGCACTGGACATGTACTCACTCCATGCCATTGCTCACTTCTCTGGTCTGCACTGTCCTGCCGGTAGGTCTGTGCCGCCCTGCCATGTCCCTGTCCCTCAGGAACCCCACCCTGTCCCACCCATGGCCAGGCCATGCTGGGCTGCACTGATGCCAGGCAGGGGGCATGATTGGGGTGGGGGATCCCAAATTCTCCCAGCCCCACAGGTGCAGAGGCAAGACTGGGGTACTGTAGTGGGCATGCTGGCACTGGTACAGGTGGGTGGCATGGTGGTGACACAGCCACAGCTGGGTGGAATTGGGACCCACATGCTCTGCCAGCCCCAGCACCTGCCTTTGAGGTGAGTGTTCAGGAGGGCACGTATGCAGCGCTTAGTCCCCATCACCCAGTGCCGCACTGAGGTGCCCACTCCCACCAGCACAGGGCTCTCCCTGCTGGCCTTTGGGGTGGGCTCAGAGACTGGCAAAGCCCCGTGAGCCCCTTCAGCCTGCAGAGTGCCCACACGGCAATGCCAGCTCACCAGCCACTGGCTGGTGACACATAGGGAGCTCTGAATCGCAGTCTGTGACAGCTGGGCAAGCACAGCTCATTCCTCAAACAGAGATAAGAGCCTTTGCTGGGATCCAGCCTGGGCGTTGTTTACTGGTTCCTGGACTCTGGCTCTGGGCTGCACCCCCATCACCCCTCCCGCTCCCTGAGGTGGCTCTGAGGGTCCTGTCGGGGTCTGGTCCTGCAGGGTGGCCCGTGCTGGGGTGGCTTCCTCCACCAGTGACCAGTTTTTGGCAGCACCTATTTTGGGAGGATGTGTTTCC